TTTTTTTATGTTTAACGTTGTTATTTTTATAGATACAAGTATTTAAGCAAATGCTCTGTTTATGATAAACAGTAAATAAATAACATTTACCGACCTGAATGTCGAGAAATTTTCGTAGAAAATATTCGTTCATTGACAGGATTCGAACCTGCAATACGGAACCGTCATTTTTACGTTTTACCTCTGTTGAACCTTTTATAGACAAGGTCAATTTAACGTTTATAAACTTCTTCCATACCTCTCGTTTCATAACTGCTCCTGGCGTATCGAATGTCAAATGACATCATATGTTAAAAATGGACATTCAGACAATTTATTTATTAAAGGTTTAAATTGTTATTTAATACCTGTTTATCATAAACCGATATTTGCTTAAATACTTGTATCTATAAAATAACAACGTCTTTAATAAATAAATTGTCGGACCATGTCCATTTCTTAACATATGACGTCATTTGTTTACATTCGATACGCCAGAGCAGTTATGAATGTACGAGATTCATGGAAGATTGTAGTTTATAAACAGTAAATTGACCTTGTCTACCATAAGGTTCATTGTGGCCCAGAGGTAAGGCAACAGCGTAAATGACGGTTCCGTATAGGATGCAGGTTCGAATCCTGTCAATGAACGAATATTTTCTACGAAAATTTCTCGACATTCAGGCCGGTAAATGTTATTTAATACTGTTTATCATAAACAGAGCATTTGCTTAAATACTTGTATCTATAAAATAACAACGTTAAACATAAAAATGTCTTTAATAAATATATATATATATATATATATATAAAGGGTGTTTCATTAAGATGGATCAAAGCCAGCAGTAAATAAATCAGTGTTAATAGTGAAAGTTTATTTCTCTGTAGGATCATATTAGTTAAGTCATGGCAATTATGTGAAAAATAATATCGCGCAAATGTCCGCCAAGGCTTCGGTGACACACCTCCACTCGGTGGTCCAACTTTTTGATGACGTCTTTGCACAGTTGCTCCTCGATCTCACCAATATGCCTTATTATCTAATCCTTTAGCTTATGAATTGTTGCTGGCTTGTTGGCATAGACCTTACTTTTGAGATGAGCCCAAAGGAAGAAAACTAAAAGCGTCAATTTGCGCGATCGTGGAGGCCAATTGACTTCGCTGTTTCGAGAGATGATACGACTTGGGAACTTCTCATTTTATTTCTGTTTGAACGTCCATTTTCATAATAGCCTTCTATAACTTTAATACGTTGTTTGATTGTTTGTTTTTCCCTGGGTGAAATTGACAAAGACTTAAGTTGTTAAATTTGAAAGAAAAAGAAAAAAATCATAAGACTCTTAAACTTATTCACATTTAAAATCGGTGCAAGTTATTGGAATACACTTCATATTAGCCATTATTTGAAAAGACTTTTTTTTTCATGTAGCTTTAGAATAAAATTATGCCAGTGTTTATGGGAAAAAAACGTTTTCAACAAACGCATGAATCTGGTTTCCATTTTAGCATGTTTTCCCCCACCAATACGTTTGGCAACAATCGAAGAATCGTTCGGTGCAAGTCAGTTTAACATGGCGTGCGGGTTGAAGGCATTAAACAAATTCCAATCTTTTTAATTTTTTTTTTTTTTGCCATATGTCTCCTTGCATTGTTATGAAGTAGCATAAAAGTTTTAACTATTTATGAGCGCAGGACGCTTTTTAAATATATTTAACGTTGCACCTGCTGAACCTATAAACGCGTTTAAATATCTGACTATATTTCTGAGATGAGGTACTATGTACATTATTTATATTATTCTGACTATTGTCCTCATCTCTGTCGCCATATTTATTACAAGGTTTCGGGCGTTGTACGCACCGGCCTTCTTCAGGTTTTTGGAATGTCGAACTGAACCCTTTATTTCACTCACTGGGGTAGACTGTTCTAGTTCCTCGTGCCATGTTTTTAATGGATGTCAGTTATCATTGGTCTCCTGTTAATTTCCCTCTCCAAGTTCTCCACTGCTTTAACCGGGTATTGAACTCACACTGTTTGGGTCCTGTCACTGAATCTAATCAACGCCTTTATCCACTGTGCTATGTGTCCTGATAATTTATATCCATTAAAAACATGGCACGTGGAACTAGAACAGTCTACCCCAGTGAGCGAAACATTCCAACCACCTGAAGAAGGGCGGAGCGTACAACAGCCGAAGCTTTGTAATAATTATGGCGACAAAGATGAGGACAATAGTCCGAATAATGTAAATAGTGAGTTTAGATAAGTTTTATGAAATTAGACTGAATAAAACCACAATAATTCCGTTACACGTACAATTTTAACATACTTTCCCAGGTTTTGAAGTTGTTTGGAGATATTTAACCTTCCCTACTTGCTGCAATTTTCGTTGAACATTGACGGATGTAACTCATTTTTCATTACCTGTTAAAGAATTATTTCTCTGCTTTGAAAAGAAACGTTTCGTAATGGATATATGATACGCTTTGTTCTTTCATTTAGAGGAGGCAGAGACAAATAAAACAGCTTACTGATTGTCCCTCTTATTTTCCACCTCTCGACATATGATAAATTTTAATATAGCTAGCATCTTTTGCACTGTTCATAATTTGCCTAATATAGTAATATTCTTGAGGGCTAAAAACTTTTTCTGCGGGTACCTGGAAAGAAACAATGCTGTTCTTAATAAGAAGAGTTGAAATTAATGCATGCAAGATGTCACAGATCTAGCATCACTCTTTCAGAGTCAGTCTAAAAACATTTCAGTCCACCCTCATGTCTTCCATAGTTTATTATGTACATCGTCTTTCCTATTCCACAAGACACCAAGCTAAGACTTCTGGAGTACTACATTTGATGTTGCCATATATTACTCATATATTTGACTATTGCTTTTTTTTTGTTTTCTGTTAACAATTTCCCTTACCTCTATGAGTACGATTGGCCTGGGTATGACGATAAATTACATCCACTTGCTGGGTAAGACGATTAACTACATCCGACAGCAAGACCTGTGATCAGGAGGTTCTGAGGAGCGTGGAGCCACCTTCTAATTGCTGGTATTCCCAGGTCCACCCTGATATGTGGTGGTAGAATCTGTTAGGGTCCCCGCTAGTTACTCTTTCCCCAAAAAATACCATGAAAGTATAAAAATAAGTTTTGATACCAGCAATACGTTTTTTGAAAACATTTTACCTGCAATATATGTAAGAAAAAAAAAATTACCAGCAATACATTTTTGAAAAAAAAAAAAAAAAAAATTAACAATATATTTTTGAAAGAAAATATTACCAGTATCTGTCTATATTTCTGAGATGAGGTATTATGAACACTATTTACATTATTCGGAATATTGTCGTCATCTTTGTCGTCATATTTATTACAACGTTTCGGCCATTGTACGCTCCGTCCTTCTTCAGGTGGTTGGAATGTCGAACTGAACCCTTTATTTCACTCATTATGGTAGAGTGTTCTAGTTCCACATGTCATGTCAGGGAGACATGGCACCGTGGATAAAGGTGTTAGTTAGATCTAGTGACAGGATCCAAAGTGTGTGAGTTCAATACCTGGTTAAGGCGGTGGAGAATTTGGAAAGGGTAATTAAGTGGAGAAAACTGATAACTGGAATCCATTAGACATGGCACGTAGAACTAGAACAGTCTACCCCAGCGGGCGAAATAAAGGGTTTAGTTCGACATTCCAACCACCTGAAGAAAGCCGGAGCGTACAACGGCCGAAAAATACACTGCGTCTGATATACCGTAAAAGAAATCAAAGCAAACCATCTAAGAGTATTATGCAAAGAGGTAAAATTTGTATTCCTTTTTAAAAGACTGCTACTGATGGTTGCCCGTTGTGCTTCGTTCTCAATTGAAAACTTACAAGAGATCCCAATTTAATGTTCCCAATTAAACTCTAAAATGTGCTATGAACGACACACTGATGAATAGATGTTGAAGACTAGGTTTATTACCATTCTAAACTTGTCCTGTGTTTGGTTGGCTGACTAACTATTCAATGCAGTGAAATAAGTAATTACTTTTCGAATACCTTAACATTAAAATAATTATACTTTTAATCTTTAATATAAATATTGCTATCATTGGATGTGGATGTTGAGTATATTCTCCAAACATTTTCTTTCGAATTTTCTTCTTTCATATTTTGCTGACTGATGTCAACCAGCTTTTCTTGTTGTTCTTAGACTATTTATATTATCATTTCCTTCTTCTTCATAAAATTCTATCATTCTTAATATGCCTGCAAGTAAAATGATAACAATCTCTCTCTCCCTCTCTTCCTCTCTCTCTCTCTCTCTCTCTCTCTCTCTCTCTCTCTGCTTCTCTCAATTGTAATCGGCTGAAGTGTGATTTGGCAGAAATCCGTAGATGTGCGGGAAACGCCTGAAAGCAAAATGGCGGTGAATGGGATTAGAGAAATGCTAAAATAGATAAAAAGAATGGGAATATTTAAAGAAAGAAAGAAAGAAAAAAAGAAATAAGAAAGAAAAAAGATGTATAATATTAACTTAGCGCAAAATAATGGTACGATCAAAGAGAAATAAAGGAAATGTAAGAGAGAGAAACAGAGTGTGTTTGTTGAAAAAAATATATAATAGAGAACATAATGAAATAAGGAAAATTTATGATAAACATGAGGCGAACAAAAGGATAAAGAAAGACGAAAGAAGGGAATCAAAATAAAAGAAAGAAAGAAAGAAAGAAAGAAAGAGAGAAAGAAAGAAAGAAAGACGTTGGATGTATGTGGGGAGAAAAGGATAGGAAAAAGTGAGAGAGAAGGTGAATAGAGATATTAGAAAAGAAAGGAATTGTAAGTCAGTGAAACAATGAATAAGAGCCAGATGAAAGAAATCTTAATAGGAAAGAAAGAGAAAGAGAAAAAAAGGAAGATATAATAATGAAGAAGAGAGAGGAGGAACAAAAGAATAGTGGTAGAATACGATGATAACATAAGACAAAATGGAAAGGAAAAGATGAAAAGAAAGAATAAGACAGAAATAATTAAAAAGAAGCAAAGAGAAACGAAAGGAAGAACAGAAAAAAAATTAAAACAAAGAGTAAGATTAAGAGAAAAGAAATATAAAGATGGAAAATGAAATACGGATTGAAAGAAAAAGGAAAGGATGGGGAAGTAATAAATAGAAGGACAAATGAAAAAGAAAATAAATAGGAAGAAAATAGGAATAAAAAAACAGAAGAAAGAAACAAAGAAAGAATAATTAAAAATAAGTTAGAGAAGAATAAGTAAGACAAAAAAAGAATCGAAGAATTTGAAAGGCGAATATCGAAGAAAAAAATGGAAGAAAGCATAAAATGAGAAGTTACAAGAAAAAAAAGAGTGAAATTGATTCTATGAAAGAAAGCAGGTATTTGAAAAATGGGCAAGAAACATAGAGAAAGTAAGAAAAAGAAAATAAGAAAAAAACAATGAAGGAAAGTAAACTAGAAGATGAAGAATAAAAGAGCGAATATAGTAAAATTAAAATAATGGAAAGAAGCAAATATGTAAAGAATAAAAAGGCTAAATGAAAAAAGAGATGAAAAATAGAAAACGAAAAACATAGAGTCCCTAAAAAAAAAAAAAATAATAATAATTATTATTAAATTTTCTAGAGGAATTCTGTAAATATCGAATTTACAATAATGAGAAACACGGGGAGGCAAATAAATGTATCAGAGTTAACTCCTCCTTAATTTCCTAAATGATCACTAGGGCACGCTCTCCCTACACTATAAATACTGGGCGATTTCTTGCCTCGTCCTCTTTTTGCTTTGCATTTCAGCGGATACATTTAAAGCATGTGATCTCTCGCAAAGATTTGCGTTTTTGCCCATTTGTGGTAAAACGCCATGAAACACGCATACACGTACGTACGACCATTCACCAAAATACAAACTTTTTACGTTCACGCACAAACACAAATGTTGATGTCTTTGTCCATCGTAAATTTTGTTGTTTAATACATATACTTGTATATATATATAGTCGACTCTCTCCCGTCGAATGAGGATCAAGGAGATCAGTTCTTACGAAACCGACAGCCCGACAACAACACATGAGATTTGATTATAGTGGCGAAGGTTTCGTGCAGGACCATCGACAGTTTTTGAAGTGTCGAATTCAGAGACCTGGTGCACTACGTGCCACAGGGTCCTCAAACGACCTTCCGCAGGTTTTGAATTCAGAGTAGTCCTTCTCCTAGACCAGTTTCATTCCAAGACTATAAAAGCCGGTCTGTCCTATTATTTGTCCATAGCTGGAAGGAGAAGAAGAGGATTCACACCTTTCCCAAGGTAAGTGAATGTAATGGATTCGACGGGAATTCGAACTCTCTCTCTCTCTCTCTCTCTCTCTCTCTCTCTCTATATATATATATATATATATATATATATATATATATATATATATAAAATGGAGTGAAAAATAATTAAAAATGAGTTAATAAATTTAGAAGAAAGTTAAACGTATCTGTAGGAGGATGAATTAAGAAAAATAAAGAAAATGAATGACAAATGTAATGAAAGAATAAAATAAACAAGGAAAGAATCGTAAATTGGGTAATTTATATAGAAAATATGATAGAATTTGATAAATTGATAAGAACAAAAAAGTAAGAAAGAACAGGGAAAAACGAAGGCGACCAAAGAAAGGAAAAATGAACCAGAAAACATGAAAAGATGGAAAAAAAAGAAAGAAAGAAAGAAAGAATGAAAGAAAGAATTAAAAATATCGAAGAGATCAAAAGAAAGAAAAATAAATAAAGAAAGCAAAAGAACACATTGAGATGTCAAAAAAAGAAAGAAAGAAAGAAGGAAAGAAAGAATTTAGAAAATCGAAGATGTCAAAAGAAAGGAAGAAAGAAAAAAAAAAGAAACAACGAATTAAGATGTCAAAAGAAAGAAAGAAAGAAAGAAAGAAGGAATTAAGAAACTCGAAAATGTCAAAAGAAAGAAAGAAAAAAGAAACAAACAAACAACGAGTTAAGAAGATGTCAAAAGAAAGAAAGAAAAAGAAAGAAAGAAAGAAAGAAAGAAAGAAAGAAAGAAAGAAAGAAAGAAAGAAAAAAAAAAGAGCGAATTAAGACACATACATATCAACAAACAGAATCACAAATATGGTCAAATATTTTATCTATGCTTGCGACCAAATTTTATTTCCAATTTCGAAATAAGTATGTGGAGTCTTTATTAAAAGGAAGTGGAGTAGAACTTTCGAAAGACATTCTTTTACAGGATCTGGTCACAGATTTCAAGTCCACATTCTATTAAAGTCATACTTGTTCTTCCTCCAATCCAACCTCAAAAATCCAGAATGAAAAATAAAAAGATTACGCTTAAGCTATATCTCCCTACCCATAAAACAGTGGGAAAGTGTGCCGGGTGCGTTGAGATAAGTTGTAATTTTTTTTTAACCTTATATATTTATTTATTTAAAAAGAAGGAAAACGAGTTGCAGCGTTCTGTCTCTGGCGATTATTAGCCGATATCTGTGTCATTCGGTCATGTAAGCGGAGAAAGCCGGAGAAAAAAGGAAGTGACAAAGATTGAAAATGGTCGACGCTGAAAGAGGCATAGACAAAATGGCGGATATTGAGAGACGGAAAAGATAAAAAAACGAGCGAGTGATAGATTTACGAAAAAGTATTGAGAGAAAGAAAGTGAAAGTCGATATAATAAAACATCGAAAGAATGAGCGACAAAGGTATAGATAATGAGAATGATGTCGCATATCGTATAAGGTTAATAAAAATAGAGACAATGCGAAAATACAGAAAATGTATAGAGCGGTCTAGTGAGAGATATTGAGGGGGTAAATAAAAAAAGTTAAAGTGAAAGAGAGAGAAAGAGAGGATATAAAAGAAGGAAATTGTTATAGAGTGAGGGGGATTGGGTGGGTATGTGGTAAAAAAAAGAAAGCGAGAGTTTGACAGGGTAAATTTGGATAAGAAAAAAGGAAGGTAATGTTAGAAAGAGAACGTATATGATAAAAAGGAAAACGAGATGGGATGAGAGAGATTGCGAGGATATATGATAAAAAAGCAAGAGCTGTAATGTGAAAAAGAGACGGTATAGAATAAAAAGCCAAAAGAGAAGGAGAGATTGAATGGGTATACAAATAAAAAAAGACGCTGAGTTTGAAAATGTACAGGATATAAAAACAAATCGGGTCAATGAAAGGCACAAGATGTGATTAGACTGTTGTCAAGAATGATAAAGCTAGAGAGAGTCGAGGAAAGAATGGAAATACATATTCAGTCCGCTATATGGTAAATAGAAACTTAGATTAGAAAAAAGACGGTAGGGCATTCGATATAAGAAGGAAAAAAGAGAGAGAGAAAGAGAGAAAGACAGAGAGAGAGGGAGGGAGGGAGAGAGAGAGAAGCAGAGAAAAAAAAGGGAGAAAATACTTGTTTCCCAAGTTCCAGAATTAAAAAAGAAATAAAGAGAGATGTAGAAAAGTGAGAAAGACAGATTAAGACTAGAGGCGGAGAGAAATGATTAGGAGAGATGGAGTGAGATGGAAATGAAAAAGAAAAAAAAATGAATGTAAGCCAAAACTCCAAGAGAAATAATGATAAAGTATTAATATTTAAACTAAAATAGTACATTTTAAATCTGCGAGAGATTCTTACATACGTTCCCCGAAGGAAATAAAAAGATGGATCCAGTAGTGTCTATATATATATATATATATATATATATATATATATATATATATATATATATATATATATAGGATTACTTATGGAGTAATATCAGCCATCGAGTCCCGAATTGGGATTGACATTCATTTTCTAATTCCCTGTTTCTTCTCTTTGTTCATTTTCTTTATACAAAATCTAAATGCCGATTTTTAAATTACAGGATAAGAGAAAAAAAAATCACAGAAAGTATAAATGCATATCCATTTGAATTTATAAGCTTGTTTCTCAATAACCGCTTAATTCTTCGGCCGGGACATGTTTCTTTATTCCTCGTCTCACATTCCTTCCCACCCATCTTTTTATGATTCTACGTTCTTTTTTGTTTTTTTACTTTATGTATTATTTCTTTTGTTTTTTTTTAACTTACTTTATTTTTTCTATCATTTTTTTCTCTTTACGTGCACACGCTTTCTTTCTTTTACTTAGTATTAATCATTTTCTTTCACTTTCCTTTTTCTCTTTCTCTCATTTTACAGCTTCCCTTCTTCCGTGTTACCTAGACCTCATCTTTTCTTTACTTCTTTCTTCCTTAATTTTGCTTTTATATTTTCATTCACTCTTTTCTTTCTTTCTTTTTATTTACTATTTTCTTGTCCGTTACGACATTTCATTGTCTTTGTTTTTAACATCTTTTTATTCTATAGTTTCATTGTTTGTTTGTGTGTGTGTGTGTGTTTCTTTCTTTCTTTCTTTCTTTCTTTCTTCATTTATTCCGATGGTGCTCCACTTCTTTGTAATTCTTTCTTTCTTTCTTTCTTTCTTTCTTTCTTTCAGGATTTAATATTTATTTCTATCATAAGGATGTTACAATAAGAATCCCAATTAGCGGGTTTCGAATCACTCGAAAAACATTTGAAATACTAAGAAAATTCAATCAATTTTCATGTTCTTTCCTTGAACACCGTGGAATAATAGAACCAGTATCATCAATGCCTTGTAGCTAACAGTTCTAGTAAATCTCATCTAGTTTGTGTGATGAGAGGTCAATCCTTGGCTCAGATAGTTAAAAAAAATAGAACTCCCGACGGACCTGGAATTCTGAAAACCAAATTAAAATCTGCACTGGCCAAACTGAACGGAAACAAGGCAGCTGGACCAGACGGAATTGTAAATGCTGTCAGACTTAGATCGCTTTGGCATAGACAAGATCACAGAAATCTTCCACAGCGGAGATATACCGGAAGACCTCAGCCGATTTATCTTCGTAGTTATGACTAAGAAAACAGGCGGAAACGAATGCGAACTCCACTGAAACTTAAGCCTAATGAGCCACGTGACAAAACTCATCATCCGCATTCTAATGTACACCGCGCGCATCGGAATTATTCCAGAGATAGGACAAGAACTGTGTGGGTTCGTTACAGACATCTGAACTAGCAAAGCGATATTCTTTCTCAGATTGTTATTAGAAAGAGCGATACAGATGCATAAGTACGTGTACCTATGTTTCATAGACTATGCAAAGGCATTCGACAAAGTACGCCACAATGATCTGATGGAACTGCTCAGCAACCTTGATATATTCGGGAAAGATATCAGTAGAATCAAGAACCTATACTGGCAGCAAACAGCATGCATGCGCATAGGTAACGAGTTCAGTGAATACACAAAACTAGAAAGGGGTGTAAGGCAAGGATGCGTCTTCTCACCCGACGTGTTCAAATTATACCACGAGGCAATCCTGAGAGAAGTGGAAAACCTTACCGGATTTAGCATTTGCAGCCACAATCTTTAACAACATAAGATGCGCAGATGACACAGTACTGATAGTAGTCGCTAAGTAACGCTGGGGGTATAAATATATGAATCCCATTAGACTAAGTCTGATAAGTGGATACGAGATACAGCCAAATTTACGTCATTTGATGATCAGCATTGAGAAAAACTGCGCATTAATTAGCATATGATGTACAGTTAAACTAACTTCAGGTCGGATAACTAATTCTTCCTATTCGATTAAAGATGTTCCCAAAGTATCGCGATGTGACTCTCAGTCGGCCTTCACTGTCACGTCACTATAATATGAAATCATACGAAATTCTTGTCACCCAGCCATGATGATCGACACTACACTCGCTACGGAGGAGAGGTGCAGAGAAAGTCCGATAAAAACTGGCTAGGATCAGACAACTGACAAACAAATCTACATTATTGAAGAGCATATTTAACGTAGGTCTGTCTTAAGTCAGTAGGTCAAAAGATGGTTAACTCCATCAATAAATTAAGATTATGTGGACTGCAAGCTGTGCCGGTTATAGCATTAGGACATGTATTATTATTATTATTATTATTATTATTATTATTATTAGAAACATTAGTGAAATTTTCTTTTCCCATGTGAATTTTCGGATGAATCTTAATTCTTAAGTTAATGTGCGAATAACAACATGTCGATTTCTATCATAATAAAATATCCGTAGGAATTCCCCTGTTACATTGTTAAATATTCGACTTTAACAATTAACTACATTATTTATTTGTTCTGATGTTGTTCTCATCTTTATTGTCATATTCACGACGTTTCGGCCGTTGGACGATTCAAACTTCTTCAGATAATTGAAATTTCGTAATTAACCCTTTATTTCGTCCACCGGCGTAAATTGTTCTAGTTCTACGTGCCATACCTCTTGAAATCACCCGAAGAAGGACGGAACGCCCAACGGCCGAAAAGTCTCGAATATGGCAATAAACTTAAGGACAGATGTCCGAACAATGTAAATAATGTAAATAATTCCTCATCTCAGAAATATAGACATATTGACTTTAACAATATATGGCAGTAGCTATCATATATATTAATTCTGTTCGTTAATTTAAGAAGTGAGAACAATTGAAAAGATTGACCATTTTTTTCATTCCACTACTTTCTTTCTTTTTTCTTTCTTTCTTTTTTCTTTCTTTCTTTCTTTCTTTCTTTCCGTCTTTCTTGCTTTCCGTCTTTCTTTCTTTGCGTCTTTCTTTCTTTCTTTCTTTCTTTCTTTAGTTCGTTCTTTTTTTCGGTCTTTCTTTCTTTCTTTCTTTCCGTCTTTCTTTCATTCATTCTGTGTTTCTTTCATTCATTCATTCTTTCTTTCTGTCTTTCTTTCTTTTTTCTTTCTTTCTTTCTTTTTCTTTCTTTCTTTCTTTCTTTCTTTCTTTCTTTAGTGCATTCTTTTTTTCGGTCTTTCTTTCTTTCTTTCCGTCTTTCTTTCATTCATTCTGTGTTTCTTTCATTCATTCATTCTTTCTTTGCGTCTTTCTTTCTTTCTTTTTTCTTTCTTTCTTTCTTTCTTTCTTTAGTTCGTTTTTTTTTTTCGGTCTTCCTTTCTTTCTTTCTTTCCGTCTTTCTTTCATTCATTCTGTGTTTCTTTCTTTCATTCATTCATTCTTTCTGTCTTTCTTTCTTTGCGTCTTTCTTTCTTTCTTTCTTTTTTCTTTCTTTCTTTCTTTCTTTAGTTCGTTCTTTTTTTTCGGTCTTCCTTTCTTTCTTTCTTTCCGTCTTTCTTTCAATCATTCTTTGTTTCTATCTTTCATTCTTTCTTTCCGTCTTTCTTTTTTATTTCTTTCTTTCTGTATTTCTTTCTTTCATTTTCTCACTGAAACTGAGTTACATATTTTGTTTTTCTATGCAATCAAAACGGAATACTCTATAATTTATGGAGTATTGGCAAGAGACTTCAAATTCTCGTCTTAGGAACATTTCCCTTAATAATGATTTAAATATAATTCAGCAGACGATGTTATTTTTATTCTGGAAACTGAACTTTTGGCAATTGCCTTAATCAGTTTCCGTCGTTCGATACTTTGTCTCTGAGAAATGTTACTTTTTTATCATCGGCGCACCATGACTTCCAGACTGTTTAACTAAGATTAAAGTGTAGTATTGTCGGTTTAATCTGATTTGCTCTCACTCCCTCTCTCCACTCTTATCTGCCCTTCTTTCTTAATTTTAAATTCAAAGAAATTATTGTCTTTCCCCCCTTTTTCCACGTGATCAAAACGGAATGGTCTATTGAGGTATTGGCAGCGCTTTACGGACGTGTTAACTATCGAATGCATCTACTCCAATCTTTTCCAATCAATACCAAGGGCGAGTTTTTACGTTTTTTTACGTCGAGTGACAAGCATGATTACAATAGGATTATTATTATTATTATTATTATTATTATTATTATTATTATTTCCTCCGATTGTTGGTGTATAATCATTTCATTCTGTTTACCAACCAGAGAGCTAAGGGTACAAATGGCATTATGGCATTTTTCACTGAGCAGAAAAAAAAACCTAAGATCACGCATATTTTAGATAGATAAAGCCTTTTGGGATGTGCGCGTTGTACTTGCGAGTACAAATTTTGTATTTCTTTATGGATTGGGCTACACGGAATCCTTTCAGTAAGTCTATCGGAATATTTTCCAGTCAGTCCGAGGAATCCAAATACAACTGGAATTGTTGATGTCCTCATGTGCCACATTTCTGAGAGATTTTCGATTTCTTAGTTTTTTGAAGATCTTCAAAGATATATTACAATCTACAGGGAATGCCATGTCAATTTATTATTATTATTATTATTATTATTATTATTATTATTATTATAATTGTTGTTTTTTGTTGTTGTTGTTGTTATTATTATTATTATTATTATTATTATTGGGCTTTGACTTGGTTATGTGTAGTACGAGTTGCCATCCTGTATCCACTAGGAACTTCAAGAGACAATAATTGTTTTCTGTTAGAAGTTTCAAACAGATAAGATGCCATTTCATCAGAGAAAAAATAATGAAATTATGGTCACTTCGGATATTCAGGCGGTTGGAAGTGGCAGTGCCTTTGATGTGATTTAGGTATAATGTAGTTTTCCTTATTCCCATGCTGTGTTTGAGGAAATGTAATATCACTTATGAGACTTGGTACATATCTAAAGCCTTCATTATTATTATTAATATTATTTTATTTTTGTTATTATTATTGTTATTTGTCATTGCTTTTTGCCGTGCGGGGTTGCCCTGCAAGATTCAACATATTTTTTATATCAGAAGATGCAAGCAGACGAGGTCCGATGCAATTAAAAAATGTAATTTGAGTCATTGCCTGGAGAGGAATATACGTAAGAAGTACTGACAAGTATTATTATTTTATTTGCAATTCACATAACTTAGGGCTTAGAACGAATTTGATTTACATATTTGTTTGTTCCATTGCATATCCTTCCCAAAGCCCTAACAATAACGGTTTATGCTTTGCGTCTTAAGATGCCACATCCTAACGATTTCAGTCTCGAGCTCCTTATATTTACTTAGTTTTTGAAACGTTTTCAAAAACGATTTTTGTCGCCCAGGCAAAAAAATAAACGTATAAGATTTGGGTGAAACGAGAGTTTAATGTTGAATCAATGAAAAAAGAATAATAAAACTTAAGCCAACTGTCGCTTCTTTTTGTTGAAAACTATAATTTCTTAGCATGTTTCTGATACTTTTTACAAGAAAGTAGCCGATTTACCTTCTAACAAGAGACAAACAAATTGAATTAACTTACAAATAAATAAGTATGAAATATTTAATTAATTTTAGGCTATTTTTCTTGTCATGGCCATATCAAACAAAAATACTTAAAAAAAAAAGTTTGAGTACTGGAGTTAAGCAACTCCGTCAGTCAGGGTTGACCATAGGTAGTTTCCTACTTGTCTGGAGCATCGACGTCTGTGACTGTAGAGGCCGATGCGAGAGTGGCAACCTTTTGCAGAGGTCGCATGTGTTTTCTGTCTCGGGTCAGTTGGAGCTTTCACTTTGCTTTGTGCAGGCCCCCATTTCCGTTGCGACATGTGTCAGCTTCTCCTCCCCTGACTTGAGGTGTTTGGTCAGGGTTCCTCTCCATTCGGATCGTATGGCTGCCAGGCTCTCCCAGGATTCTGAGTTGATGTCCCCAGCTTTCATGTCGCGTCGCATTAAAGCTGTGGCAACCCGGCGGTTCTCCTTCCAGCGACCAGTTTTCCATACAAGAGGTCTTTGGGGATGCGGCCGTCTGGCATGCGATGGACGTAGCTCAACAAACGGAATCCCCATACGTTTTGTGAGGCGCTCAAGTGTTTTGGCTGCCTTCCCGATTCTCTTGTCTATCTCTGCGTCTAAGGAGAGGTTATCAGTGATGGAGGAACCAAAGTACATAAACGGATGAACCGCACAGAACTCATAGTCATCAACCGTGATGGCTGGTGATGTTTCGGTACCGTGTCCCAGAACGTTTGTGTATTTTAGGCTGATCGTTAAGCAACGTTAGTTAGTAATCAAATGGTTGATTTCTGAAGAAGACCCGTTGTTATAAGCTATGAAACAAAGCCTAGCAGCGCGCCGATGGATAAAAATATGTACTATTCATACTAGCTAAAAACCTCGACATGTGCGGGTGCTTCTGAATTGACAAGTCGTAAGACCTACCCGGAGGTGGGTGAGATGATTTGAGATATTATTTTCCTGGATTTCTCTCGGAACCATGAACAATCTCCAGTTTCAAATTCACACTTCCTCCCTATGATCGAACATCCGGTAATGTTCGTACTTACAATACTGTATGAAAATTCTGCGAGACGTGCTTGTTTACCATTACTCATTGAGGAGATCTCAAATTTCGTGTATTACGTGAGCTATGAACAGAGTAAGCCAGCGATAACAAACCTTCATTTCCAATAATATTAAGCAAATGAAAAAGAAAAAAAATTGGAAACATTTGTAGTATTTCAGTGTTCTAAAAGTGAAGACGCTCAGATAAATGTAACACTTTAACTTTTAGGGCTTGGATGATAACGGTTCGCCACAGCTTCCTATTTCTTATTTCTTTCAGCTCTTTATGTGTCTATGTCGTTTTTTTTTTTTTTTTTAGTGTTTCTTTCATTAATTTGCTTGAATTTTCTGAGCATTTCTTTCCTTCTTTTTTTCTGATAATCCCTGTGAGTTTTCTACTTCCCAAGCATTCTGTCCTCTTTATATTGATTGTACACTGTTTATTTGTTCACATACATGTATATATTGTATTCGCAACATTCGTCTGTAGGATTTTATTTCAGTTCCTTTAATGTTTTAATTATAATTTTTGACGAAATTCTTCAGAATAAACTGTAATTTAGAAGTGAATCGATGTTGGAAATTTGTCGAACAACATCATAATAATAAGTTTATATATTTTGTCTGAATATTTGAGACGAAGAAGTGTATGTGAAGTGGTGTCCTCATGTCCTCACAAGGTAATTCGATAGACCTCGAGATAGAAATCAGTAGAATAGTTTATCTCAAGACGCCTACACTAACTGTTTTTACCAAAACTTTAAGTATGGCATCAAAAGGTGCAAAAATATATGTGAATCAAATTCTTACTAGACCTAAAATATGTGAAATGGCTTCAGAGAACAAACGGTAATGGCTACCAAAATTGTGCATGAATTGAAAACGTACATTTTGTGTGTTCTTTGTACTGTCTTCAATATGAAGAATGACATAGAGAGGGATAGCAGCATCTAGAGTGTCCTGACAGGGATAAGTCCAGAAAGAAATGGAATCGAGAATTTATTAACGCCCGGAAGATCAAAATTACAACGTACTTGCATACGATAGATGTTAAGTTAAAAGCGTACCCCAAGATCATTATAACGACTCTGCATGATTATATAGGCCTTAAATCATACACCAAGACGCCAAGGCACCTTTTTATGGAGTCTACGAAGGTCAGAAGTTCAATTGACCTCGAGATAGAAATCAGAAGAATAGTTTATCTCAAGACGCCTACTGTTTTTACTAAAACTTTTAGAATGGCATCAAAAGGTGCAAAATATATGTGAATCAAAATCCTACTAGACCTAAAATATGTGTATTGCAAAAAAAGTGGTTGGTTATACATATAGGTACCTCTATGATATTGTTTAGAGTTATCTCAGTGCAGTGACCATAAATGCAATTTTTAATAGACTGCACCTCATTTGCTTGCATCTTCTGATACAAAAATCTTGTTATCTGTTGAAGTTTCCTGTTCAAAGAACATGAAAGAAGTGAGCGACTTTATTCAGTAATAAAGGAAGCGAACAAGTTCAAAATGGAATTTGAAATGCATGTAGATATATAGTAAAGCACAAAAAGCAACTGAAGCTGCGAAATACTTAAAAAAGAAAGCAAATGTATCCTACCAGATACAGAAATGATGGCAAGATAAACCGCTTCACGGTCAATACTCTGCCCGTACCAAACATGTTGATGTAGACAAGCCTCGTACCCATCAGTGGCAACGTAGTCCAAGGTTAAAATCTGAAACCGAAGGTTTTTTCTCCTTGCTGCAAAGAAGTAATTCATGTTAAGTAGAAATTATCAAGCACACATATTGAAATATGTAGATTCTGTGATAAATATCCAGAAAAAAATGATCATGCACGATATTCGCCCCCACTAAATATAAAACCGGGCATGACAGAGTGGGCCAAAATCTGCACTGGAAAATCTGCAACTTTTACGGGAAAGAAACTGAAAGAAATAGGTATAAACACCACGCAGACACGGTTACGGGGATAGGACCTGTAATAATTTTATAGGATTGAAAATACACACAACCAGAACATGCTAATCGCCCAGATATTGTTATTAGAGACCGCAAACAAATCAAATGCCTCCTTATTAATATGGCAGTCTCCGCAGACTGCAATTCATCTTTCAAGATCTTCAAAAGGCTATCAAAATACAAGAAATTGAAATCTCAAAAATGTGGCACATGGGAACATCAACAATCTCTGTTGTAGTTGGAGCCCTCAGATCAGCTGTAAACAATTCCAGTAGACTCATTGAAGGGAATTGTGGAAGCCCATGCCTTAAAGAAATACAAAGAAATTGTTCTCACGAGTACAGCCCACACTTCGACGAATTTATCTATGTAAAACATGTGTCTTTGAAGATCTTCAAAAACTATCAAAATACAAAGAGCTTGAAACTGAAATTTCAAAAATGTGGCAATGCGGACATCATGAATTCCAGTTATATTAGGATCCCTCGGACTGATTGGAAAGGTTTCCGACAAACACATTGAATGGATGCCTGATAACCCAAGCCTTAAAGAAATACAAAGAATATGTACTCACAAGTACTGCCCACATCTTACGAAGAGCTTTATCTATGAAAATGTGTGTGATCTTAGATTTTTTTCTAAAAAAAAATCCTCAGTGGAAAATGTTATTTTAGATCTTAGGTCTCTATTTGAGATCCGAAATGAAATGAGTATATACCATAAATCAAAGGAACTTATAATACATATCCTAATGCTATAACTGGCATGCATTTTATTCCTGATTTTAATTTATTGATGTTGTTAAGCATTGTTTTTCCTCGTGATGGGCTGCTTTAAATATGCTCTTCAAAAATAAAAAGTTTGATATCTGCATCTCTCTTCCCGAAAGAGCGTCGTGTGAAGCATCATAGCTAACAGTCGAGAGGTCCGTATGATTTTATGCTTTAAAAACCCAGTTTGTCATACTCACATCCTAGATTAGAACACACGTTTTAATATATCCGCAGATAACATGATCATTATTGAAAAGAGCAAGACACAAAACGCTAAAAAAAATCAACAGTGTCCAAGCCAAAAGGCACCAATCGATGGTTGACTAAAGGACGACTTCATTGTAAAATGAATAACGGAAAAAAACAGGTGGAAAAATTATTTTTTGGTTCAATGACGTTTGCATTCAAATCCGTTTAATTTTTATTCGAGCAAACAAGAAATCCGGAAGGAAACGAATGCAAAATTCAGAAGCATAACTTCTCTTGGGCAAATTTAGAATTCTGGAATCATCCGACCAAAAAAATTTAACAGCACCATTGTTCTTCTAATGCTAGAAGCATTTGAAAAAAGTGCCATTCTTTTAGAGAGAAGAGAGAAAAATTATTTCCGATATGTGCAACTTTTTTCTTTTACTGGGTTCATGATTTTCCAATTTTGAAGATGCTACTTTTTGAAGATCTTTGAAAGAACTGAAAATGTTTGATAAAAACAAAATGAAAGGAAAGAAAAATGTGTTTCGCTGGGTTTTATTTTTTGCTCAGCAATTTTTAGTTCAGCTTTCAGTTCTTACTTTTTTGTTATTTTCACACCAGTTTACAGTGGAACCTAAGTGGCAACAAACCAGAAAACACCATCGTCTTTTACATTATTCGGACTATTGTCCTCATCTTTGTCGCCCTATTTATTAAAACGTTTCGGGCTTTGTACGCTCCGGACTTCTTCAGCTGGTTGGGATGTCGAACTGAACCCTTTATTTCGTTCACTGGGTAGACTGTTCTAAGTCCTCAAGGACACATGGTACAGTGGATAAAGGCGTTGGTTAGATCCAGTGACAGGACCCAAAGCGTTGTGAGTTCAATACCTGGTTAAGGCGGTGGGGAACTTGGAGAGGGGAATTAAGAGGAGAAAACTGATAAGTGACATCCATTAGGCATGGCACGTGGAACTAGAACAGTGTACCCCAGTGAGCGAAATAAAGGGCTCAGTTCGACATTCCAACCACCCAATCAACCGCAGTGAGTCTAAAACTGACCGTATGGTGAAAGAAAGGAAACTAAATCAGTTATTTTAATTAATTTGCACAAGAGGGAACATAGCAGTTTGTCTTTCTCTTCAGATTTCCTATTCAAGGCAATAACGGTAATTGTGTGGATGTGTATTGTAATGGTATAAAATGGTGTAATGGTATAGAATGGTGTAAAGGTGTAGAACTAGAAATTGGTTGGCCGTGTTCGTATACCGATCGATTTTATTTTTTCAGTTTCACTATTGCACAAATTCTCTTGCAAAATATATGAATCTCTCTTTTCTCTCAACTTCTATTACGAGTAAAATAGCAAATTACTCTGAACTTTTTAGTCTTGATTCGCAAACTTGTTTAGGCTGCAGCAATAAGGTAACTCTCAAGTCAAAGAATTAGCTGCAAGAAGTCTTATATGAATGGAGTCGAGATACTATGTAATACAAAAACACGATAGATTACAAAAACTCTAGATTGCTCCAGTGAAGAGCGATTATCCAGAATGTTATTGTTGTGGTGTCCTCTCTCTAAAGAGTATATGTTAGACTCTTCCGCCTATTACAAGATTAATAGGACAGAATGCTTCGGGGAACTGTGAATAGATTGAGCGCTAGTTCATTTGATACACTCCCACTAGTTGTGTAATAATCTTCTGGTGAACTTACTGTTTATATATACGATATATCTGGAAACCTTTTTTTGTTATTACTTAACCATTTACTTGGTCACAGCAAATTATTGACATAAACGAGCCCAGGTGTGGTGTCATTTGATTAACAATCGTACACTTCCTTCTTATTATTTTTAATTCTTTTGTAAATTGTTGCAATTTTATTATTTTGCATCGCGTTGTCCTCAACTTATTAGGCTGATCAGTTGCCATTTAGTAGTAGTAGTAGTAGTAGTAATAATAATAACAATAATAACAATAATAATAATAATAATAAATATACCCTTAATATATATCTTAAATATACCCCAATTTTTCCAATGTGGAAAGGTTGTTTCGATTATTTTAGAATTCTGTTCGTTTCATTTTCATAAAATTTCATTACGTTGGGTTTGTTAAATTTCCTTACGCGCAAATACCCACGAGAACGGTATGACTCAATCTATTCTCCCCCAGCTGGGGGGCTGATTATTATTAAGACTTGTATCACCAGAACATTATTACATCGCCCCCCCCCCAATTCTTACAATCTAAAGATTATCGGTATCAGTTTTTTTTGTTTTTATATTAAATGCCAAAACTACAATATGATTATAATTATTTAATATTCTCTCAGACATTTAAATTTAAGCCTTGATGATAATTTTATCTCAGCTCTTACCAGAAGATTAGAGAGAAAAGACTTTCCTCAGTAAATGTAAATATTAGAAACAATT